CCAAGACAGTCTTTTAATACTATTATCCTGTATAAACAATGGTTTAAGTAAAACCAAGCTAGGGTAAAGGCTTTTTTATTTTTATTGCTTGGATGAATGAACTAACTCACGGCCCACCTGGTGTCTTAACACTTATGTTTACCGGGATCCATAGACATCTGCAACGTAAATGCCGCTACCTATCCTGGGATTTGAGTTCTAAGGTCTGTTTTTATAGTACAAAATAGGATACAGGGCTACAAGTTACATACACACTCAAAATACTACCCTGTATATAGCCTGTTTCGCTTTTTTTATACACAAATAACACAAAAAAGCTGGCGCATATAAATAGCTGAAGTATTGATTTAAATAGGCATAATAACAAAATTTACAAAAATATGTTTTTTTACCTTAATTCTCCACCATAATAAGTAGATGCTTCAGCCTGAGAAGCATCCGATGAGGTCAATTTTAGGTTTTGAACAATCAATGCAGCCCTTTCCTATAATATTGAATAATATTAATTTGTATTTATTTACTACAAATAGGTTTTGGTATATACATAAAATATTACTTGTCATAAGTTTAAAGTCAAGATTGTTATTTTAGACATAATTATTTTTCCTAAATAATTTTAATAAATTTGGTTATAATGGAGGTAACCAATATTGAAATTAAATTATTTTACACAGAAATTATAGCTTACACATCCATTTTCATCAACATATTTAATAAAATGTTACACTATTTGTGCTTAGGTAAGGTAAATTTTGAAGTATAAAATTTTCCCTAATAAATTTCACTTATTTAATTAATCAATAAAACAAGCAGTTCATTTAGGCAATCTACTGAATAAAGTTTGTCCCTTCCTTTTGTCAGTAATTGTTATAGTCAGGATCACACTATTACACGTAATTAAAAATAAAGTTCCAAAAAATGTAGTCTATCATTATGAATAAACCTCATAATCTATTTTAAGATTTAATAATATCAGTTAAAAATACTGATTGATAAATTATATACCTGAGAATCACCAATTACAGTAACAGCACAACGACTAGGAGTAATGTTTTGGCTTGCAAAAAGCTGAAGAGACTCTGATGAAATATCATTAATCCTCTTTGGCGAGATGAAGAGCGAGTTACCCAGTCCACGACGATAGGCTGCCTTATGGAGCAAATCTACAGCACGAATCTATAAAGTAAACTTTTTTGTTATTTGATGAACATAGTTTGTTGTGTTGTGTATTCTTCAATAAATGAGGTTTAAAGAGAGCCTTAATAGTAGGCTGTACTCCTGACATACCTAAGGTCCATGGGCAATAGTATCTACTTACCACTAGGTGGGTCTTTGGTTAAACATCTACATTATCAATACTTTTATGAAAATTCCAAGATTTACTTTTATGTTTGTATATATGTTATTTTTTAACTTACGAGAGCTGAGGTGTTTTAATTTTATTAAATAATTTATTCCATTTCACACCTAATTTTTTTGTTATTTTTAGTGCTTTTTTTTCACCAACACCATGGTAATACTCATAATATACCTCCCACAACTAAGGCAAATGTTATGACAATAATGACATTGGATTCAAATAAAATGAATATTTATTAAAATAAAATCTGTATAATTTAAGTTTTATCTGTGTAATAAGATTTATCTGAATCAGTATTGTACCAAAAATATATAGTAAAAATGTACATGTTTCTCAGATAAAGATGCTTTAAAAGTTATGGTAACATTAGGTTACAGTAAAGTTAGTAATGGTAGGTAGCAGCTTGGCTCTGCCCCTGGCATTTCTGAAGTCCATGGGTGACGGTAAGCACTCACCATCAGGTGGGCCTTATGCTCATCTGCCTACAAGGGCAATAAAAAAAAGAGTTACAAATACCTCTGTTTCATTTAATCATTACTGAGATTTTATTACAATGGTGTTTCTTTTATTGTCCAATTTATCAGGAAATCCACAGCCAGTGCTGACTTGATGACAAGTAATGAATTCATTCATGAATAATCAACTTAGGACCCACTACTTAAATTAACTGAATCCACTTACTTGGGGTGGTAGAGAAATAATATCATATTTCAGACGAGGAGCATTATCATTGAGTTCCCATGGTCTGAACTCTTGGTTTGAAACTAAGTTATTCAGGATCTCCAGTGCATCATTCAATTTGTCCTGTGTTGCCTGCGGAAAACTTTTTTTTAAATACTTTATCATTATGTTAGTTTTCATATTAATTACATTCATTTTACATTCATTGCATTGTTTCAGTAATATGTGTCAAAATTATTTATGTATTAGAATGCTTACTTCCAAAGTGTAATAGATGAATTCTCTGTCTCCAGAAGCACTAACATATGCTCCAATTTGAGAGAGTTTGCGTTGAATAAGGAAACTACTAATATTCTTGGTTGTTAGTCCAGCAGCTGATCGTAGTACATGCGACAATCCCAATTCAGCTTGTGGTTCATAACGAGAGCCAGCTCTGTAAATTTTTACATTATTCTCCAATAACTAACAGAAAGTTAAATTTTTAATTAACATGGATAAGATTCAATGGAAAAGAAACCCAATGTCCAAGATTTACATAGCAAACATCAATATATTAATCATAGATACCATCCGAAACTTGATATTGCATCTGCAACAGTGACAGGAAATATTTTATAAACATATTTCGGACTTCATAAAATAATAACAAAATAAAACCTTTTGAACAATTTAACAAAAAATGTTTTATTTATATTTAAAAAACAATTATAGTACTTACTTGAAGGCGATTGTGACACGGGTAACTGGGGAACCGTTGTCTAAAGCAGCTACGAACGTCTTGTTAGGTAAAACACTTGATTGGATCCTAACATCTTTCTTTACTGCCGGCGCAGCTTGGGCGTAGCCCCTGATCTAAAAAATTACAAAACTTAGATATCATCGTGTTCGCTAAACTATTGAAGGAACATGAATGGTTTACATAATCAGGTTTTGACAGCTATGAGCCTGAAGATGGAAGAGATGAAAAATGTATGTAATGTATAAACGATTTTTACGATAATTACCGTAACATGACGAATAAAGGGGGCGACGAGAGTTTTGGATGCCATTTTCGTAAGTTTTTAGAAACTTTAGGTAGTAACGCAACAAAGGCTTATGATTTACGGAGTCTTCTCTTCCTCAGGAAAAGTTTAGGTAATCGTGTGAAGAACCTCTGTTAACTGTCAGCTGTCAAGTGTCAACTGTCAGCGCTCTTGAGCTTTTCGTACCATAGACCTATATAATAGGTACTTCAGTATACATATCCTACTAATTTTCTTAAAGATAGGTAGATAATAATTTACCTCGTAATGCTACGTAACGTAAATTTATCACCAACAAATACTGAATCTAGGTATAGGTTGTACGCGAGTTTTGGTCCGGCATATTTCGTTGCACGCTGGAAGGGCACACCGAATCTCGTTGAAATCGTTACAACAATATAAAATAAAAATAAACAATCAACTAAAAGACAATACTCTGGCTACAAAACGGCTTAAGGAATATAATCCATAAATAGAATATTTGTAACTTGCCTCAAGTGAGATGAAATTTAAACACGCTTGGTGTTATTAATACATTTATAACGTCTCTTTTTCAATTTTTGTGCTCTCACAGATTATCCACCGAAGTTACACTACAAAAAGTGTTTGTCTTGTTCGATGATTTGGTATCCTAAATTTTAAAACTCATTGATACTGATGGTTAGGACCACCGTAATACTGGTAGCAGACCACTTTCTGAATCCATAATAGGACGGACTCAGAAATGGAACTCGTGACAGGAATGGGTAGTAACCCATTCCTCGATTCGATAGATTCTTTTTCTTTTAGGTGCAGAAGCTCTTCATCGTCGCTTTCTCGATCAACCTAATAATATGAAACTATACGACCAAAATCTTTAAGAAACTAAGTTACAAATACACAACATAGTACTAGTAACCTCAATATTACAAAACAATTATTAAAGTACACAAAGAGCTTACGAAAAACATTAATACAAATATATTTAGCGATTAATAATCTATACATATAATTTTTTTTTTACTACATGCATATGAATATATATAAGGTACATACACCAAAATAATATTTTCTACCATTTTTGTCTGTCTGTCTGTTTGTTCCGGCTTATCTCTGGAACGGCTGGATCGATTTTGACGAGACTTTCACTGATAGGTAGCTGATAGCACAAGGAGTAACTTAGGCTATTTTTTAGACTAGCTTCGCCCCGCGGCGTCACCCGCGATACGTAAATAACAAGAATAAAATGTAATGTTTCCGAAGCGAAGCGAGGGCGGGTCGCTAGTTATTTATAAATCTTTAGTCTATTGCCATATCATTCATTCGTAGAAAGAAACGTAATACCGACTGTCTGTACGAAAAAGAATGCATTAGAGTTTCACAAATCGTTCTGCAGAGGTAGCACGATCTGCACAATAGTTGTAAATTCGTAATACGAAATTGACAGTTGACAGCAATATTTGCAAAATATTTAATTTTGTCTTCTGTTAATTGTTTGCGAAATATGTGATACCGCTGATGTTTTTGGGGATTTCCTTAATAATGCTAATACTAGCAGCGTTAGTCGCACAATGCGTTTTGTTTAACACAGTTTTTTAACATTAAATTAATTACATTTTCCAACACTGCACTTTCATTTTTTCAATGCATTAAACAGTAAATCCAGAAAAACTACAGTGAATCTGTTGTAAGTACAATACACCTGGCATCACTCTGTATATAATAATATATAATATGTCTTAAATAGACACCGGTCCAAAGTATTAATGATAGTTTAATTAAACTAGTCATCATAGATTATGCACTAAAATTTCTTAATATAGTGTTTCCTGTACATACCGATGTTTAATTACAAGTACACCTACATTATTGATTAATTTTGGAGTAAGAACGTGTTGATGATAATCTATACTTAAGAACCATAGATAATACACTTAATTTACAAGAACCGCAAGGAAATTGAAGGAAATGCCGCCAATTTGATGAATTTGATTAGATACGTCAACATAAAAATTTTTGTATGAGTTGTTATTAAAGCTACATATTACAAGTAGGTACTCTATTAATTTAGGAGAGTACACAAATTCAATAAATCCATTCATGTATCTACCGTAATTAGTTATAAATTTTGCCTAAGACGTTCATGTGGATACAGAATTGTAATTTACAATTGTGCTTTTCATCATTACCTACCAAATTTTCACCTTTTCCATAATGGTACCGCAAGATTTTAATGGATTGACAAACTTTACTTCGCTTATCAGGATACCCGTGTCTTATTTGAGTGAGTATCAAACATAACTCTAGGTATTACTCAGACAAATCAATAGATTCTGCGCCATTCCCGCCAATTACGTTTTGAGGTAACATTGATTGTTTTTCACCCAACTCAAAACTTGTAGTAAATTATTAATGCAAAATCCAATTATAATACGTGAAAACTATAATATTCAACGTTATTCCATGATAAGCCTCTAAATTGTGTGCTATAATTTCAGGGTGAGGGATGACAAGTTTTTGTGAATTAACATCAGCTGTTATAGAAGAATCTATAAAATCAAAGTTTAGCAAAAAAATACACAAAAATCATCATAGCTTTGCTTTCGTAGCTAAACATATTGCACATAAGCATAAATGCAGCAAAGCACTTAAAAGAAAGTTAAAAAAATATAAATTGAGACATGATGGGCAGGAAGATCAAGATGTATTAGATGTATCAGAAACACTTATCTCATCTTTAACTATAAAATCTCCAGGAAAAACCGATTCTGAAGATTCATTATCAAATGAAAATAACTTAAAACCAATAAACTATTTGTTTAAAATGGTTAGAAAAAGGAAAACTCAAATGCCTATTCAAAATTATAATAGTGAATTTAAAGAAAATCCTGAAGAAATCACAAATTTCAACAAAGGTACAGTTGATACTGATATTTCTAACTCAACATCAAGTAAAACTCTGGAGAAGAAACATACAAATGCCTTTAAATTACTTATGGATTCAAGAAATAAAAGTATTGGTTCAAATTCACCTGGCAAAGATAAACCAGATGAAGAATCAGCAGACTTAAGTGATAAAAAGAGTACAAAAGCTAAGAGAATGCTTATGTTACAAAAGATGGCTGAAACTAAAGGTTCATTGAAAAAAAAAGAAGTTGAAGAATTCCATGAAAAATGTATCAAGAGAAAACTAGAAGAAAGAGCTCAAAACTTCAAAAGTATGCTCTTAAATCAAGAAAGTAAATTAAGAACAAACAAGGAATACAATCAAGAGGCTGATGATACTACTGATAAACTTAATGAGATTTCAAGTGGAAGAAATGACAGAGCATTGCAGTTAATAAACATCTTCGAAGAACCAGAAATTGAGGCTAATATAAGTAAGAAAAATAAAAACCCACTGAGCAAAGAAGATGAAGAGTTTTTGAAGAAATTATCACCTTCAATCAAAAAGAAAGAAAATATGTTATGTTACTTTAAGAAAGTTGAAAAAGAATCTATTTCCCCTATTGAATCTGAAACTGAAAATACTGTTATCAAAGTTAAATTGGCCACTAGATCTAAGAAGAAAAGTAAAAAGAAAAAGAACGACTTGAAAAGCATTGCAAAATGTGATAATATAAATGATTCAGAAATAAATCAGGAAACTTCAATAGTAAATTGTCTAGAATCGTCAACTGATCAGCATTTTGTAGAAAAAGGTAGAAAATTTATTAATAAATCTAAACGTAAACGTAATTATGTAGAATTTAAGAAAGCAAAACAAGATTGTGAAAAAAGTCACATAGCTGCATGTAATGAAGAGAGACCGAAGCGAAACGTAAAGAAACCAATCAAGTATATAGATAATGTTTTTCCATCAAGTTCAGATGAAGAATTACATATATTTACACCAAAAAAGAAAAAACCCTCTGAACCTATTCTGCAGTCAGATAGTCCAAAGAAACATAAAGCAGTTGACAAATTAAATTCAGTGCAGAAAATGAGATCAAAGGTTACACAAAAAGAAAGGAAACTGGGACTGAAAAAAGATGTTAAATTAGCACCAATTTTTAACCCAAAGCACCCATTTAATTCTGTTGAAAATGAAGCAAAACAGAAATTTCTTCAAAGTGGTGTACCAGAACAAATAAAAAAAATGATTTCTCAGCAAAAATCAAAGGATGTCTTTGTCGATTATTTTCCAGTAGTTGTGCATGTTCAGCAAAGAAATAGAGCAGAAGTAACACATGTAAAAGATCTACCAAAATCAGTTGATCCTTTTGACAGTTCTGACATCGACAATTTGATTCCAATCAATGGATCATTTAGAGAAATAATTAATAACCGTTATCATTTCTATAAAGCAAAAGAAGCACCAATAGTAAATAAAAGTATTAAAGAGTTACTTCAACATATGAAAACTTTAAAACCAAATTTTCCTGTTTACAGAACATATAGACTGCTAAGAGATAAAAAAAAGGGAGAACTGAAAGATAATAGTTTTTTAAATCTCGATAATAGTATAGAAGTATTAAATGGTTTAATAGAAATAAGTAATGATAATCCAGATCAGCTATCTTGGATTGATAAATATAGGGCAACATCAACTAATCAAATAATTGGCAATTACGAAACAATCAAGGAATTGAAAAAGTGGTTAATTTCATGGAATGAAAATCAGTTACAATCAAAACAACGATTAGATTCCGATTGTGATTCATCTGACTTTTACAATTCAGATACAGATAGTAGGGACACTATTAAAAATGGAAATAATCTTGTAATTCTCACTGGGCCGGTTGGTAGTGGAAAAACTTCCAGTGTTTATGCAGTTGCAGCAGAACTAGCTATCAAAGTGATTGAGGTGAATGCAAGTACCAAAAGAAATGGAAAAATTATTTTGCAAGATTTACGTGAAGCAACAAAGTCACACAAAGTAAATAGAACAGCAAATAGTTTTGAAAACTCTCAAAAATCACAAGAAATTGTTATTCTAGATGTACCCAAAAAACGCGGTAGAACAAAGAAAACGGTTGAGAAAAATGATAAAACTGAAAAACATTCAGATAAAAAACATTCTATAAATTTTTCACAAAATAGTCAAGAAGTCATGAGAACAGATTCATCTCTTATTTTGATTGATGATGCTGATATCGTTTTTGAACAAGATGATGGATTTTGTTCAGCTATTGTCCAAATAGTACAAAGTTCAAAAAGGCCTGTTATTTTAGTGACTTCTTCATTTTCATGTCCACATCTACAAAGATTTTTGCTGAGTGGGAAAATTTTAAAATTCAACCAACTTATGCCTAGATTGCTTGGTCCCTGGCTGGATGTGATGTGTCTCGTTGAAAATGGTTCTTGCTATCCTGGAACTGGTGCCAGATTTTTAGATTACTTCAAAGGAGACATAAGAAAAACAATAAACTGTTTACAGTTTTATACATCACCAGTGAAAATTGTTGCTAATGATGTTCCTCAAATTGACTTTAAGTCTCAGCACGATGATGAGAAGTCTAGCATGTCATGGGCTGATCGTGATGAAATGGAAGAAATGAATATAGAGTCAAGTATTACATCTGAAAATACTACATATTTGTGGCATCAGTTCCAGCACACTCATTTAGTAAGTGATGAAAATATCCTAAATATTTGGTGGAATCTACCCCAACTACTTAACATAAATAATGATAGCAATATTATAGAAAACACAGCAAAAAGACATTCTAATGGTGACCTACAATCATTGGCTGCTACAATAGACACCATTTCATTAGCAGACTATTTTTGTCCCAGAAACAATCACAATACTGATGTCGTTTCTAAGCTTTGGTACTCAAAAGAGAGTCCCACAGTCTTAGAACAAGAAAATTTCGACGAATATAGAAATAGTGATCAAAGCAGCATAGAAATATCACAGGCATTAACAAGCATTTCATTGATAAATGCACAAAAACGATTCAAGGTAGACAGTAGCTATGAAATATATTTCCCTGGGATTATAACACAGAGGTAATGTTACTTTTATTAACATTTTGAAATTCAAACTTAATATTTTTTTATCCATTATTATTTAAAGTTTATTTATTAGAAATCTTATTATAAAAGAAAATATTTAAAAAACGGATTATAAATATAATTTAAAATAATGCGATGGTACGAAGGCCGTGTCTACCACACAAGCTACCGGTGGTTAGGACTCCAGAGAGAGAAATCTCACAATACGCCTAGTACCGTAAAATTCCCCCATTTTCGGGACACTTTAAGTTCGACATTGATTTTTATCGTTTTTTTTTTAGCTATAGTAATAAAACACATCATAATGGTTCCGGTAGCTTAAATTTTCATTTATAATGCATTATTATTAAAGAAAAAGTTTCAAAACTCACTTGTCCCTATTCACCCAGGCGCTTGACTGAATCGGGTCACATCTGGGGACAATAGAGTTTTTCGATAGGGTCGGCACTATTTACTTAATACAATTGTATTAATTTATTCATTTAACTGTAGTTTATTTGCGTTGTATTTCAATTTATGAATACTCGTAAATTAGTCATAAATTGAAATACTGCAGTTGAAAAGAGTCAATGTTTGAATTACTGTTGAGTTGTTTGAGTAGTTTTCATCACTATGGTACCTACAGAAGGAAACATTCTCATTAAATATCTGAATGTGGATATTCTTGCAACTTTTTTTATTTCCCTCGTAGGCAAACGACCATACAGCCCACCTGAAGGTGAATGGTTACCGTCGCTCAGGGAAGTCAGCAACTTTAATATTCTTCGTAATTATTACATTTTGCAGTTTCTGTCAATTTTATTATTAGCAGAGGATAAAAACAGTATGCCACTGCTCTTTTGATAAATATTATGCCAATTTTAGTATCTACATTTGTAATGACCCATTCAATTATAAATGACATTTGTGTAGTCAATATCAGGGCCATTAAGACCAGCACACAATGGCATGATTAATATACCTTAGAGGATATTTTAGTTATTAAGGAGTAGGTAATTTTTGTCATTTTTTTTCAGAGTACGGGACGCTGTTTTATCACGCCATAACAACTTGACAGCCTGCTTAAACCCGTCAGTTGTTCTTGACAGAAAATCTTTGGCCCTAGATTATTGGCCTTCCTGCCGAAGTATATGTTCCATTGAAAAGACTAAGTCGGACAGTAATTCTAAAAGAAAAAATCGTTTCTGTCATTATCTCAAATCTGTGAATGTACAATGTAGAAGTGAATGTTTTGATAATTTGAGTGATAGCTTGAATATTAACAATAAACGTAATTTTTCCTTTAAGTAACTGTTTAAACTATTATGTTGTGAAGTTAGATTTATGAATTAAAAGAGTTATTTATATTAAAAAATGTACTTATTCCTGAATTTAAATAAAGTATGTATTGAATGACTAGATGCCTGACAAATTTGCTGTTAGAATATGGTTTGTTTTATTGTTTAGCCAGTAAACACCCATAAATAATTGACAAAAAATATACAGATGTAGATTCCTCTTCTCCTTGCTCTTAACCCCACAGCATGTGGTCGGCGCAGCATGTTTTTTTTACCTACCCATGTTAATAGCCTTGAGAGGCTATTTCAGCTTCTCCTTGACGTGTAGGAGAGCTCACGGGGCTCAACCTGGGAGTGTTGCTAAGACTGGCCTTAGCAAGAGCAGTGCTTCGCAGAATCTACAACCGGATCGGAAACGCGACCGCTGAGAAGATCCGGCGAGAAACTTAGTGAGCTGTGTCTATGCGTTAATTTACTCGTCGAGCCCTTCGTCGCAAGCGACGGGTTCAATGAGAACGGTGACCGGTGCTTTATGTACCTAAAAGCACCGTTAATGGATCGGGAGCGCAGCTTGTGACCCTATCGTGTTGCATAGGTAGGTATTTAGCATCAATTTTACGACCGCTCGCCTGCTTGACGTCAACCCAACCTCGGTTATATCTCTAGTAGTATATCTGTTGCAACGTGCCATAGGGAGAGATTTATCTTTCTCTTGAAGTGTTTCTTTTACAGTGGTAGGTACCTCGACATACGAGTTTAATTCGTCCCGTAACCTTGCTCGTATCTCAAAGCAATTTCCCACATTGAAATTAATTGAAACGCCATTAATCCGTTCCAGCTCCCAAGAAACCACCTCAGTCGTGATAAATGTATTTACGACAAGAGGCATTCATCTATAAATAACAAATACATATTCTATAAAAACATAATAATCATCAATAGACATCATCTTCTTCGGATCCATTGTTATAAAAATAAATGTGATAATGTTATGTAAATGTACAAAAAGCAAAAAACCCGAACCAAACTGATCAAAAATTCTTCGAAAACGAAGGCAGGAAACACACAGACTGAGGTCTAGTCTGAGGTGGAAGAAACTGTTAGACGGTGTAGTGTGCGCTTCTTCGTTTCTCAAATCTTGCTCTCATCTCAAAGCAATCTCAAAACATTCGTTCAATATAAATCACTCTGGCACTCGTATATCAAGGTACCACTGTGACTGTACTTCATCTGTTTTTGGTTCTATGATTTGGCTTTTATTAATATAAACACATTTTTTTTAAATATATAAAAGTATGGCATTTGATTCGCTCAATAATACCAAAAAATTATTGCATTATTTAATACTATATACTAAGTATAATAGTAAGGAATACAATAAGTAAATAAAAATCAAGGACAAATCACACGCGCTCGTCTGGTCCCAAATTAAAATTCCTTAGAGTAGGTATGTGAATCAGAGATTGAAATACATACAGTAATGAATAGTGATATACAGTAATGTTGATATTAAAAACATAGTAATCAAGCAATCACTCGATCAATGAGTCCTTTATCCTGAAGTTTTAGGACTGTTGATCTATTTTTTGTTTATTTTACAGAATGACTCTCAGTTCAGTGTGCCTATTGGCATAGACCACCTCTAATAACCTTCATTGTTGTCTATATTTAGCGACCCTCCTCCAGCTGGGACTGGCTGTCACTTTTATCTCATCCTCCCATCTCATCCTTTGCCTTCCTCTATTCATTTTATCGTCTCCAGGCTAACATTCGGTGATGATATTGCTCTGAGTGCTTCGCAATATATGACTTGTCTATCTTCACTTTAGTTGATCCATTTTTTTTTATTATTGTTGAAAGATTACTGGTGGCCCGAAGGCCTTTCTAGTTTCACCAGGACCGGTGGGCGAGCAAAGGCTCAGCCAGGAGGGGTGGGAAGGTGGGATTTGCTAACAACTACCCGAGCGCTTCCGAAGGAGACTTAACAACTCAAGAGCAATTGCTTCGTGAATGAATCTACTACCGGATCGGAATCGCAAATCGCTGAGAAGATCCGACGAGAAACTCAGCGGGCTGATGCATGGGTTAGGTTGCACTTCGACCTCTTTGTCGAGTTCGACGAGTATGGTTACCGGGGTCCCTAAGCCTGCCCCTAGCGTTAGAGCTGAAGACGTCGTGATCCATCTTTACAAGCACATCTGTTTCTCTAGTTTCTTATCTTATAAAGATGGTTCTTTTTCTGTCCTCCCTTCTGTTGCCAATCATGCTCCTCTTCATAGCTCTTGGGCGGTGTATTAATCTGTCTCTGTGACATTTAGTAAGGGAACAGTTTTTACAACCGAAGATAAGACAGGGGAGAATAGCTATGCAAGGGTTGTTGGGTTAGGTTAACAGGGCTCAACCTGGAAGCACTAGCCTTAGGAATAGAAGTGCTTCGCTAAATATGCCAACGGATCGGAATTGCGTAACACTAAGAAGATCCGGCGATAAACTCAGCTGGTAGGTAGCAGGTCGAACTCGTGCACGTTAACTTCGACGAGTTTGTCGAGAAAAGTGACCGGAGTTTGGAGTGCCTAAAAGCACGGAGCTCTAGACAACCAACTGTGGAAAAAAAACATAGACAATATCTAATACGGTATCTAAGCTAATCCCATACCATTGTTTTTTTTGTCTGATTGTTTAATTACTCGAAAATCATTTAAAAATTAAATGTTTTCACCAGAAAATGCAGCCTATATAAAGTAAGCTCCCATTTAATATAAATGATTGTGCTGTATTATTTTAATGTCAGTCCTGAGATACTATATCATAATTACATATTATGCATACAAGCCAGTAAGCAAAGCTAGGTTTCCATCAGTAATTACGAAAAAAACAGGATTCTTTTTTTGAAAAGAAAATAAATAGAGTTGGAATTTCATATCTGTGCGCATTTCTCCCGAAGAGCAATCATACACGAGTTCCGGTTTAAGACAAAAAAAAAAAACAATACCGCCACCTCAGATAATGGAAGTTTGACGTAGTCAGTTCAAAGCTTACACGACCAAAACATAGTAATTACACTGCAAAAACATCAAATAAAATGACAACTGATGACCATTTGACCTAAAACACGTATTAAAAGTTTCTTATTTTAGCACACGTTTCGTCAAAACAATTAAAAAAATGTTTTGCATAATATATGATACCTACCTACCCATTCCGTAAATTTTATATATTATCTCATAGCAACTATTTCTGTTTTGATTTATTTAAAATCGTCTGATTTACGCTAATTATTATTGCTTTGTATGGCTGATAACATTATCTTTTCAAATAAATTATGTCGAAAAAACATATTTAATTGAGTTAGTTCGCAGTCACTTGGTAACAAAGATTTTGAAAATACATCGTCATTCCAGTTTATATGTATGCTTCATCACAGTCATTGTTATTTCTAAGAGATTCGAAACATAAATAATTCTCGCTTAATGAATATTCTATAATGTAATTCTAGTACTTTAAACCAAATGAATATTTCATATGAATTGTTTGTTTCAGTGTCCAGTGTTATCTTTTAAAGAGAATACTCATTAAACATAATCAAAGACTTTCTTATTTGTGCAAAAAAGCAATCAAATGCTAATTAGAGAAGTATTTTTAACAATTCGATACCAATTAAGGAGTGTTATTAAAAGTAAATTGTGGACATTGTACACGCAGGTAAACACAATGCATGCAATGAGAATGTGACAAGATATAATTTTGAACGCATTTTTTTGTATATATTTTTTTTGTTTTATGTTATTTTAGATTTCCTTAATTATGCCTCCTGCGGCGTGTGATGATTTCTTAGGAGAATACGTGACTTAAATTAGATTTTAATAAAATTTCCGTCTGACTGATTACTATTTGTACTTAATTGACTTTTTCATCTGACCTGATAAAATGTTATTTTTATTCTTTATGTACCCGGTGTAAATGACCGCTTATCAATATTATTATAGAAATGTACTTATAGTATTGGCGATGTTACCATTCATGGATGTATTAGACAAAATTAATAGATTAATCATTCATTTCAGTCCCCTTTCAATAGAGATCAAATTACTGTACCTAAATATTTTGAAAACTGTTTGTGCATTAAACGGTTCTAATTCGGTAAAATGTTAAAAAAAAACGAAAAGTTACACTGAAGCAGCTGCATTTTTTATTTATTGCATAGATGGACGAACGAGCTTACGGCGCAGAGCAGTGCAGGAAAATCTACCACTGGATCGGAAACGCGACCCACTGAGAAGACCCGGTGAGAAGCTCAGTGGGCCGAATACTTGTCTGCCTTCGTAGACAATAAAGAATAGCAAACTGTAGTATGTAGTAATTTCCCAACACAGCGGCAATAATTGTTCTATTATTCCTGTATGCGATCAATACTTATTTGAATATTTAAAGCGATGTATCTTTGTCTTGGTGCTCAATAGACTCTCAGTGGAATCTCCATAACTCGAATCTTGTTATGTCGAAAAAAACGCCGTTCGCCACCACTAAGCCCCAAAATACCCGGTACCTTGAATTATTTGGATTTTGTAACTCGAACAAAATGTTATTTCCGTGCGTAGGCATTTTAGTACATATACATAAGTATACTTATACCCGATAACTCGAATTTCAAAAGTCAGACTCTGTATTTCGGAGTCTCTTATGTCAAACATAATGACGTCTTACTTGGACTTCCCCGAACCCTAAGAAGAAATTGATTCCAATAAATAAGTACCTACCATAAAACCTACTTAAATCAAATATTTACAATATTAATATTTTTTACTCCTTGAAAAATATACTAAAAAATTCGCCTTCTTAATTCTAAATTCTTTTTACGAATATTCAATTTATGCAGCCTAACACAAACAATTAAATACTCTCGATTTTACTGCAAGCGACGAGTTGTTTACGCAATGCAGGCGGCAGATAATGTACAAACATCAACATACGAATCAATAATAAAATAATGCCCTATTTTTCAGTTTATATTTTTAACCTTTGGAAGATATTTTCACTGAAATTTCACGGATATATTATATGTATATTGACGTAGATATGTTATAATGTAATCTTAAGAAATAAAAAATTATTAACTTACCAGTTTATCATTATT